CACAAGATATGACACCTTCACAGCATAACAATATTAGATCAGTCACTTTACAACTGAGAGGAGAAAGAGAGAGGGAGCCGGAGAGAGGGAGAGGAGAAGGGAAGAAGAGATATTAAAAAGAGAGAAGGAAGGAGGAAAGGTCAGAGGGTATAAAGGTGAGAGAGGATAAATGACTCTGTAATCTGTTGTATTATGTTCTTACTTTAAAAGGTCAAGATAAGCTAGTGTGGGATTAGATGAATGAAGTAGATCAGGATTATACTGAACTGATATCCAATGGCTACACTTTGAACATACAATGTACTTGAGATGAAACTCTGAAATAAAAGTTAAGTATTATTATTATTATTATTTATTTATTTATTTATTATTATTATTATTATTTATTTATTTATTTACTTGTTTTCTTTGCAGAGGAGGTCAGTCCTGCACTTACACCTGCTACATTCAACCGTCACTTTAATGACACTCATTTGAATTGTTCCAACTCCTTCACTTAGTTTAATGTCCACTAGTCTCAGCTCTGTACCTCTCTTCACTGGTGAGACATATTTCATATTAGTAGTAGCTACATCATCATCATCATCATCATCATCATCATCACATTATAGGCCACAACCTATAATTAATAATAAATGATTAAAGATACATTTTTATAAAGACAAAGTCTAACGTTAAGCTGATTCCAACAAAAATTTTTCGAGTGACAGCCATTTTTAAAAGTAGTAAATTTTCAGAAAAAATGCTTTGGGTTTTTTTCAGAAAATGGCTCCGAAATAACCCCAGATTATTACATTTTCTGATACGTACATATTAATGTCCTTATGCTGTGTAGAAAGTTTGAGCTAATTCCGACTTCAATTTTTTGAGTTACGACCATTTTAAAAAATGAGCCAAAATCTGAAAAATACTCAAGGCTATAGCCCATGGTTTTTTCAAAAAATGGCTCCGAAATTACTCCAAATTTTTATTACATTTTCTGATACATATTGATGTCCTTATGCTCTGTAGAAAGTTTGAGCTAATTTCAACTTAAACTTTTTGAGTTATGAGCATTTTTTACAAAATTGGCTCCAGAATTACATGTATATACAACAACGTACCTCCAATTATTATTAATATCACTTACCGAGTAGTTGTAAGACACATCTTCCTTTTGTAGATTAAGAGCTCTGGTCAACCTATGAAGAAAAATAAATAAAAATAATAATGATAATGAAGTCACAATAATTATATATTTGAAAAATTCCATTCAGTACTACTTAGTTTTAAAGAAACAAAAATGAACAAAAACAAAAGAACAACCAATGAGCTTACAAAAAAGATAAATTAAAGCTGAAGCTGGTCCTCGCAGTGAGAATGAGTATGATAAAAGAGAATTTTATTGTCAAGTTCAGCCTGTATCTCTCCGTAAAGCAAGTGCCGTTA